GACTTCATTTGCTTTGTATGTATATATGTAAAAAGGGATTTCATACCTTGTCTTAATCCAGAGTCTTGTTCCAGTTCGCAGCTTTGCTTCAATCCAGGTCCAGGTTCCAATGCAGAGTTCTTCCGGTTTGTTCATCTTTTTTTGCTTTTTTTTTGCTTTTTTTTTTTGCTTTTTTTTTTGCTTTTTTTTTTGCTTTTTTTTTTTTTGCTTTTTTTTTTTTTTTTTTTTGGTTTGGTTTGGTTTTTTTTTTTTTTTTTTGAGAGAGAGAGGAGGGCTTAGTATAGGCCTCAGGGTCGGATTTCTTTTGATCCTTTTGGAGTGGAGGACTTAATGTGCCTGATCATTTCTGATAGGCTTTGGTCTACGCCTCGGTTTTTGGATTTGATCCTTTTGGAGTGGAGGACTTAATGTGCCTGATCATTTCTGATAGGTTTTGGTCTACGCCTCGGTTTTTGGATTTGATCCTTTTGAAGTGGAGGACTTAGTATATGCCTCAAGTTCGGATTTGGTTTTTGATTTTTGGTTTTTGATTTTTGATTTTTGGTTTTTGGTTTTTTTTTGGAACTTGCTTTTGGAATTTTGCATTGGACCCCTTCTTGGAAATCGACTTGGCCTTGAGACTTGGAGGTACAACCCAGATTTTGGACTTTGATAGAAATGCGCCTCTACTTTTGTATGTATATATGTATGTATATAAGTGTGTATATGTATGTTTGTATGACTATGACTATGACTATGTGTATGTGTGTGTGTATTTGTTTGTGTGTGTGTGTGTGTGTGTGTGTATAAGAAAGAAATAGAAAAATAGAAATTGTGTGTGTTTGTGTGTGTATGTATTTGTCTACTTCTCTAATTGTGTACTTCTCTATTTGTTTGTATATGTTTGTGTGCTAGGACTAGTACTAGAACAGTACTTGGACAGTTTTTGGACATTTGGACTTGGACTTGGACAAGACTTGGAATTGGATTTGGACTTGGACTTGGACATAGCAATGGACCTTGGCTTGACTATTTTGGAGATTGTACTAGTGACTATGGGGTTTGATCTGAGATAGAGAGATAATTGTGAGCACAATTTTTTCTGGTCAATATTGTTCTGGTTGTTTTTCTTTTCTTTTTTCTTTTCTTTTTTTTGTATCTTTTCATTTTCTTTTTATATATTTTTTTCTCTTTTTCTTCTTTTCTTTTTTGACTATCTATCTTGATTTGGCTTTGAATCTTGACAGTGACCTTGAGGGTCTCTGAAAAGCCTTTTTTTCTCTGGTGCGCATTTGGAGCCTGTGTTGTAGTAATACAAAAAATGATTAGTCTATGTCTTGAGATAGCTCACCCTTTTTCACGGTACTTACATTAGCCTTTCTTGTGGGCCGCATTGATGTTTGCTCTGGCGCATACTTTGGCCTCTCTTGTAGGATAGTTAGCCATTTTTGCTGGCACATACTGTGGTCTTTCTTGTGGGCTGGTTGGCCCTTTTTGCTGGCACATACTGTGGCCTTTCTTGTGGGGCGGTTTGCCCTTTTCTTCTGGCACATGCTTTGGCCTTTCTTGTGGGGCGGTTTGCCCTTTTCTTCTGGCACATGCTTTGGCCTTTCTTGTGGGCCGGCGTGCCATTTTTTCTGGCACATACTTTGGCCTTTATTGTGGGATGGTTTGCCCTTTTTGCTGGCACATACTTTGGCCTTTCTTGTGGGCCGGTTTGCCCTTTATCTGGTGCGCACTTGGAGCCTGCATTGTAACAATACAAAAACAATTAGATTATGTCTTGAGATAGTTTGGTCCTTTTCCTGACACTTACATTAGCCTGTCTTGTAGGCCTGATTGGTCTTTGCTCTGGCGCATACTTTGGCCTCTCTTATGGGCTGGTGTAGCCTTTTTCTAGGCGCCCTTGTTGGGCTTCTGGTGAGCCTTATCGGCTTTTGACGAGGTGTCTTGAGGACACGACATAGCCGACAACTTTGCGGCAGAAATGGAACCATCGAGTTCCCCGGCAGAAGCAACAGGAAGCAACAGGAAGCAAATGTCCGACCAGTGGGATAAATGGCTCCTACCAGTGAGATAAATGGACCCGCCAGTGGAAGGAAAATGGGCGGCTGGCAACTGGCAACTGGCAACCGGCAACCGGCAACTGGCGGCTATATAAAAAGGTCCACTGGCGAGAGATGACAGGTTCACTGGTAGGAGGAAAGGGCCTACCAGTGGGAAGCAACAAACCCACTGGCAGAAAAGTCCCACTGGCGGAAGCAACAGACTAACAAAAAAAAAGCAACAAGCAACAGTACCTTTCAAATAACATGGACCGCCGTGGAAGGCATAGGGAAGGAACAAGCAACGGGAGGGAACAAGCAACGGGAACTAACCCAAAAAAGATGGTACCAGCCGCGCCCACCAGAAGAGACAACAGAAAGCAACCAGTAATACACAGGAATACGGACAACGGGCTCACACGCTACACGCGCGCTTGTGGACTTGCTCGATAGACCATGGTTGACCCGTGGCTACTACTCCATCGGGCCCTTTT